CAAAAGAAAAAACGACATTTAGAAAACCAGCTACAGGAACTAGAAAGGCTCAATTCACAAAGCGAAGCGCGAAAATTTTATAAAAATATGAACCACAACAGAAAAGAATTTAAACTCTTACATCGATGAAGAATTTCTCTTACATCGATGTAGGGGCAGTTTTTTTGAATGGATATTCAGAATGACCAATGCAAATCTTTCTACATTAGACTAATTATACTAATTAGGGTAGGTTAACATGAGAATATAAATGTTATAATACAATAAATATTTACTGTTTCTGACTTTGAATAAGGAATACAAGTGCTTATTTAAAAGTGAAGAAAGCGAATATACACAGTTTAATTCAATTCAATAAGTAGTATTGCTGACACCGTTGGTAATGTAGTTCGAGACCCGACGTGGATCAAGTGTACTTGTGTTAAGTCATAATAAATTAAAAAGTACAATACGCCTTTCTTTTGGGAAAAGTTAACAAGGAAATTCAGTTATAGTGTATTTTTATGTATGAGAGAGTAATAAAACAATAAATTATGTATGCAAATCCCTAAACTGTTGATACGGGTGACTCAATGAAAAACAGATATTTGTCAACAAGTTTACAGAAGTATATAGGAAAACAATTTTAAATTGAGTATGACCACCAGGTATAAAGGTTGGAGCAGAATAGAATACAATAGTTGTGAGGGTTACTAATCCCTAAATAAGGTTGCCAGTGTCGGAGTGATGGAGGTTAACAGGTACTAATGAATTTGCAAGAAATGTAAGATGTTTATTTTATTGGTTATATATAACCAATAAAAGTTTAATAAGTACCTACCTATTTGCAAAATAAAGTTTAATTCTTTAGATAAAATAAAACGTTTTATTTTATCTGAAATGAGTGCATTCCACGAAGTAAGGGTTTCAACAATCAAACATTTAATTCTTTAATTCCAGGAATCTACGACAGTAATTGACTAGATAATTACCTTCTAAACTTATTCCACAGAAAATGTGATAGTGGGTTTTTCCATTTTGTAGGAAGGTCCAAGTGGCGTATTCAAAATTCTTAACAGTTCACTAAAAGTAGGTACTTCAGTTGCAAGGTGCAGTTTATTGTGTATACTAGTGTTATGGAAAATTTGGAAGTGCCGTGTAAACGCCGAAAAATTGGTCCTTTAACAGTTAATGAAAAAACATTAATATTTAATTGTTTTAAATCATTTACAGACAAACGTTTATGTGAAAGTGTTGATGAGACCGTTGAGTTAGTTAGCAGTACACTTGGTGTTGGGAAATCTACGATTTACAGAGTTATTAAAGAAGAGAAATGTGGTAGTTTTCAAATGCCACGTAATGCTCCAGGGAAACCAAAATTTCAAATAGAATATCATTTTAAAGAAGGACTTCGACGGAAAGTGCATGAATTCTTCTTTAGACAAGAATTTCCAACATTGGATAAAGTTCTTGTCTCAGTTCGAGATGATAAGGATTACCCAGAAATGAGTCGAAGTACGTTATGGAAACTTTTAAAAGAAATAGGCTTCCGCTGGAAAAAGAATCCCAGAAAGTCTATTTTATTAGAAAGAAGCGATATTGTCATATGGAGAAGACATTTTCTAAGAACCATAAAGGAAATGAGAAACCAAAAAAGAAAAATATTTTATCTTGATGAAACATGGATCAACGAGGGTCATACACCAAATAAATTTTGGCAGGATGAAACTGTTACAAGTCAAAGGCACGCTTTTGTAAATAACTTATCTACTGGTTTAAACCCACCATCAGGAAAGGGACGCAGGCTGATAATAGTACACATTGGCAGTTCAGACGGTTTTGTTGAAGGTGGTTTATTAACTTTTGAATCAACTCGTACCGGTGACTACCATGAAGACATGAACGCTGATGTCTTTCAAGAATGGTTCGAACAAATGATAGATCTTCTTCCTAAGAACTGTGTAATAGTAATGGATAATGCAAGTTATCACTCCAGACTTATAGAAGGACTGCCCACAACCAAGTGGTTAAAAAAAGACTTGCAGAATTGGCTGAGTTCAAAAAATATTACGTACCATCCCGGATCTATAAGAAAGGAACTTTATTCGTTGTGTGCCCTTCATAAAGAAAAATTTAAAAAATACGAAATTGATGAAATTGCCAAAAATCGTGGAATGACAGTACTTAGATCCCCACCATATCATTGTGAATAAAACCCGATTGAACTGGTATGGGCACAGATAAAGAGTGAAGTTTCAAGAAAAAATACCACTTTTAAAATTCATGATGTTAAACAGTTGTTTTTGGAGGCCGTAAATAATGTAAAACCTGAAAACTGGGAAAAGGCAGTAAATCACACTATTAAAGAAGAGGAAAAAATGTGGAAGCTGGACAATATTACTGATAAAATGATCGAGCCAGTTATTATAAATCTTGGTTCTGAAAGTTCATCTTCTGAATCTGATTTGGATTTGTAACAAGTAGCTGTAAGTTTTATATTAATATTTTTATTCATCTATTTAACATACCTTAGACGGTTTTAAAACTCTTTTTCTCTTTTGTAATTTTTAAAAATTAAAAAAAATGTGAATTTTTTAAAACCCTCTTTAATGTAGGCCAGTCAGTTCTAATATAGTGTGTGATAAAAGAGGTCACTTTTGTTTACATACACATAACACTTTATAACACTGAAATAATTCATTTATTTTTTACAATTATTCAAAGTAATTTTTCAATTAATCTTGAGCACGCCCATGGAGTGGTCGAAGGTACCAGTTAAAATTATGCTAATTACTCTCTCGTTCATAAAAATAAACTATAGACTGATGATACATGGCGATCCTGCTTATAGAAAAGGAAATCTTCTGACCCGAAAAGAAGCAGTGAACAGTTATTAAAAATAGTGATTCTTTTTTTTTTGGTAGTGAAGTTATTTTTATTAAAGTAAAATAACAAAAGCTTATATTCAAAGCTTAGGACGGTGCCAACTAATCGTCTAACGATTTCTGAAGCAAATTTGACCTGTCCCTTCGATTTTTCATATTATTTATGTGAATGAAGATATTAAGGTGGGAACTTTTCAAATTATCATCCCGTATTAGGCCAACTTATAAAGAAATAAAGAATTTCTAAATATTACCAAGTGATTATTTTATATACAATATTGTACAGTATTACTAACAAACATTATTCAGTTAAGAAATCGAATAATTGTCGCTATAATCAATTTAGCAGCTTCGAGTTAAATACAAGGGCATGCGTTTGTCCTGTGGTAAGAAATTGGTTCCAATGGCAGATGAGCTAACTATCTATACAGCTACTATACAGTTGTAGAAGGAAAGTGAGAAACCCCTACATTAAAGATTCCTGTGGATATCTCAAGAAAACAAGCCATGGCGATACAGAGCAAACAAATGGCTCTATAATCCGCGGTAGATGGACAAGGACTGAGTAAACAAGTGTCTGAGAAAGTATCTTGAAACATAAAACATGTAAAATTTTACCTTCAAATTCTGTATTGGGATGCATACGGATGAACTAGCTTTCTTGAAACGCCTAGAGTATTGGTCCAGTGCGCATATAAGGGGCGGAGTTGGCTACTAGCATTATAAGAATCTTTGAATTGTATATTGTAGCACAGATCGAACCTAGCCTAACCTAACCTTAGCAATGAAATATGGCTTTCTGTGTTCAAAGCAAAGTTTCAAGCCAAATTGCTCATCGGAAGTGATAAAAAAGGGAAAATGTTTTGTATCGAGTGTATCTAGAGTAAAAATAAATGAGAAACATGATAAATATTGGCTGATTGAGGTTATTAATGTCACACCACCCTCCTATATTGTTAGAAATAAATAAACTATACAAAAATATAGTTATAAGTAATATTTCTTCTCCCTAACTTAGAAAAAGCAAATTTTTAATAATTGTACATTTTGTCTCGTCCCTTCTTGCTAGTAAAAACATTTTCCAAATACCGAAATCGTACTAGTGTTAGTAAAAGATAAATAACATAGTCAAACGCTTTATGCTGCACTTCAAACAAACAATACAGTTTTTATTACACAAGGAACACGGCAATATGCCTTTATTGCAAACTCTACTGTCCACTGTTTCAACAAAAACAAAAATCTACATAGTTCGTGCTGTTAGACGACAGACAACAAAACGAAATAGACTTTAAGTAGCTCAATTTGGCCTTCATCGATAAGACTAAAAAATTTCCATGTTCAATTATTTGTAGAAGGTTTACATAATGGCGAATTACTGGCGCCAACTAGCGGAAAATAGTTGGACTCCAAAAATAATTTCTAAACTAATTTAAAAATGGGGAATTAATACTTAAACCCGGCTATATTGGGAAAGAGCTTGTGACGTCAAGATATATCGTTCCCACTCTTACTTACCCAAAAAGGTGCTTCTCTCCTACACATTGATTTCCCTATATCTGTAGTGACACAACCTCGTCACTGATTTGCCATGAACATCAGATCAATGACAGAAAGATTTGATGAGGACCAACTGAAATGATGGTCAATAATATGCACAATGGATGAGAAAGAATGCAGCCCAAATACGTGGAAAGCTCCTCACGGGAAACTGAACTACTCTGAGCTTATCAGATCGTCTGCTTCAGGATGTACATCATTTCACTGCGACTTGTACTTAGTATAGTGTGTTTAATGAATCCTGACACTTGAAAAATACTTTTACCTTGATAAAAGTTAAAAATACAGGACGCAACTCGGTTTTTCCATCGTAAATAGGATATGCATCCATAGTGTTGTAATTTTTGCAGTGTTGCCAAGTGTAGGATTATTTCTTAGAAATAACACCATCAAATTTTTAAGACTTAAAAATTTACATAGTTCAAGAACTATTTGTTATATAAAACATCAACTACTACCCTACACTTTAACATAATGGTACACTTTAATAAAATTGTGCTAGTGTACTTAGGAATGTAGGCCATTTGTACAAAGTCTATTTCGTCTTTTCGTCAGCGTTATACACCAAAAACTCACCTTCTAACTGGAGTTGAAAGAGTCAAAGGAGTCGGCACACCCAACGCCTTGATTCTCTGCTGCATAGTGGGCGAGGGTCGCTGCGGTTGGCCTCCCAACACGTCGGGCGTTCCGCTGCGGTTCGGGTCGAGACCCCGCGGCCGGGGGTGGGGACTACTTCGAGCATAATGCGGCATAGGACGCCCGGGAGTTGGTAACACCTGCGTTGGGTGTCTGGAATTATACAATAACAACGTTTATTAAATTAATTAATATAAGAGTAGATAAGGTAGGGGTCTTCTGGCGCAACCCCTAAATCGCAACTCCTAAAATCGCAACCCCGGTCGTAGCTGCCAAACGGCTAAACGACGTACGAGAGCTCGTTGGAAAGGGGATGAAAAATGGGGTTGAACGCAGTATGTGCCATGCGCATCAGAGCATGCCAAAAGGGCATTACTATTGTTCTGAAGCTATTTTCTTGTGGCATTTTAAATTAATTACTATTTAACTGGGAATAAGCCACAATTAAAGATAAAAATACGTTTATTAAATGTCTAATAAAAAGGGCATTACATCATATCTTCGTTTCTATTGATCCGATCGTGACGTACCAGGACTCGTTGAAATGGAATATACGTCAAAATCAGGTTAATAGCAACGAAGATACGTTATAGCGCCCATTTGACAATGCTGCCACCTTTGTTTTTTGTGTTAACATAGTTCCCGTCTCCTCTACATTCCAACGAGCCCTCGTACGTCACGATCGAACCAATAGAAACAAAAAGATATGATGTAACGCCCTTTTGGCATGCTTCGATGCGCACGGCACACACTGCGTTCAACCCCATTTTTCATGCCCTTTCCAACGAGCTCTCGTACGTCATCCTACGTTAAGCCGTTTGGCAGTTACGACCGGGAGTTGCGATTTTAGGGGTTGCGATTTAGGGGTTGCACCAGAAGACCACTACCGTATCTACTTATAAGATCAATAAGAATAGAAGAAGTTGTGCTTGGGAACAAAAATAAATACAAACACAAGGGGCTCTTATAGACATCGCCGTTTTTACTGGAAAACGAATCGTCAATAAACAGATATCCTTATAAGATTTTCTTTCAGATTAATGTTGGCTTTGAGTGGCGTTTTATTCCACAGAATCTATTCCAGGCAAAAAATATTTGACAATTACAAGCCAATGTTCTACATTATTAATTTTAATTAAATAACTCAGGTAGATGACAATTAATTACTATGAAAGTCTAAAAGAGATACAATAGCGCAAAATTGAATTTGTCAAACAAAGCCACTAATTTTCAATATGACTGCTTTCTTTATTTGCCTCAAATTGTAATCTCATCACAAATGTCTTAATATTTTGGAATAAAAAAATGTTATAAGGACAAAATTCATACAACAATTCATAGAGGCAAAGGCTTTACTTACCTAGGAGATTCACCATCGACGGTATTTCCGGCCGACGGTAGGAAGAAATTACTTTTCGAACCGTGCCTCTGTAGGGGAGGTGTCGGTTCACAGTCTTGGGATTGGGACGCTGACGGCTCCATGTCTAACTCACAACCATCACGACCCGGTGACATCTACAAAGAAATTAATGGCGTTTATCATAAAAAAATAAAAAACAAAACAAACATGATTATGTTCCCCATTCCCCGAAAACACGTTGAAAAACGACCCGTATGAAGATAGCAAGGCATTATGAATCAATGAATTATTACAACAAACACAATTACATAACAAAGGCACTATGATTGTGAAATGGTCCTTCGAGCCAGATCATGTTGATTATTGATTATAATGAAATTATAATGGCTGAAGCTAAAGAAAACATCGTATCCAAAATTGTTAAGTGTTCTCGTAATTGGGATTTGATAGTAAGTGCTCCCTTGTCTAACGGGATAAAAGTAGTCTCTTTACGTTTCTGATGAATTTTAAATTATGAAATGAATTTTGATGAGAAAAATCACAATAAAACTTTAATATCGATGCTAATAATAATAGGTGGAGACACAAAATCATCTGCTCGTTATAGATTTATGATAGATGTGATAGAGATAAATGAAAATTATGATATGCGGTAATAGCAATACAGTTTATACTCCATATTCCAATACTTACTTTATTATACGCATTCGAGTTCATATTTCTCACTCCATTACTGTTATCCATGTACGTCTTCACTTGACTATCGTTCGTTATCGTCGCTATCGGTCCATGTGGACAATGTTTTCGCTTCGTATTGTATTTACTTGGTTTTATCAAGCTGAAAATAAAAAATTTTGTTACTCCTCTATTTTAAAATAATTTGTACACCATAATCCCACAGTGTCGTCACTGAAGCGATAAAGATAGGAGGCTCGAGTACTGATAGCCAAAATTCAAAAGCTCTTTAATCTATGCCTATGGAATCAAAATATCCCAACAAAGTGGAATAATTCAATAACTGTACTCTTACACAAGACGGGAGATGTAGCAGACCTGGAAAGATACAGACCAATCAGTCTCCTTAACCATCATTATAAATTATACACCCGAATAATAACGAATAGATTAAAGACAAAGCTGGATTTTTACCAACCTCGGGAACAAGCTGGTTTCCGCCCTAATTACGGAACAAACGATCACCTGCAGTGTCTAAAAACCCTAATAGAAAAAACTAACGAATATAACCGTCCCTTGGTATTGATATTTGTAGACTTTAAAAAGGCGTTTGATACAGTGGAACTACCGTCCATCTTAAGAGCACTACAACATTGCAGGATGGACCACAGATATTGTAATATACTTAAAAATATATATGAAAATGCCACAACAACCATAAGTCTATATTCTGCAACTACTAAAATAAAGATAAAAAGGGGAGTCATGCAAGGTAATACCATGTCACCAAAGCTGTTTATTACCGTTCTTGAGTATGCATTTAAAAAACTAACATGGCAACAGAAAGGAATATCCATCGATTGAGAAAGATTAAACCATCTACGTTTTGAGGACGATATCGTGCTTCTGTCGGATAATCTGGGAGAGATCAAAGACATGCTCCAAGAACTGAATGACATACTACAAGAAACTGGGCTGGAGATAAATTTCGAGAAAACCAAAATGATGACCAATATGGTTCCCAGCGAAGAGATACAGATCAATAACACCAAGGTAGAATTAATCGATAAATACACATACTTGGGTCATGAAATTAGAATAACCAGAGACAACCAAACCTGCGAGCTAAATAGACGAATCATGTTGGGATGGGCGGCATATGGACGGATGAGAGACATTTTTAAAACAAATATCCCAATTCACCTGAAAAGGAAGGCATTTAACCAATGCATCTTACCAGTCTTGACCTACGAAGCAGAGACCTTAACTTTAACGAAAGCTACTGCCGAAAAACTGAGGGTAACACAAAGGCGAATGGAGAGATCAATGCTGGGCCTGACCTTGAAAGATCGCGTAAGAAATGAGGAGATACGCCGACGAACTGGCGTAGACGATATTATACTGCGAATCAATAAACAAAAGTGGAGGTGGGTTGGACATGTTGCTAGAATGGAAGACGGAAGATGGACGAAGAGATTATTGGAGTGGAGACCAAGAGCCGACAAGCGAAGTCGAGGCAGACCACCCACCCGATGGACCGACGACCTAAGGAGGATAGAAACAAACTGGATTGCAGCAGCTAGAGATAGAGAGAACTGGAGACGTTTGGAGGAGGCCTATATCTAACAATGGATGTGAAAATTCGGCTGGATGATGATGAGAATCCCACATAAAGCCAGGAATTTAATGTTTACAATTTCATGAAAGAAGAAATTTGCCTCCAAGAAATGTACTAGTTATTGACAATGCTTTATACCTTGTAAGATAAAGGGCATGATGTGATAACTGACACCCTATCATCCAGACCTAAATCCAACTGAACTCGTTTGAGCGCATCACTGAAAAAGTTTGTGTCAAATAAAAATCTTAAGTGGAATCTCTATTATGTAGAAAAGTTGTGTGGGAGTCTCGATGTCAAAATGCCATGAAAATTGAAAAGAATTCTTGGCTCAAGCGCCCAATATTGATCACGTAATAGATCAAATTATAAATCTACGAAGTGATGATCTAGACTCTGATGCCATTTTTTCTTCAGCATCAGATAGTGTTTTTAAAGAAGAAGGTGACTACAAAAACAACAACAAAAAAAGTTTTACAAAAAAGCTAAAGCCAAGATAACGGCATCGATCAAATTAGTGTGTACTCAGAAGAAGAGGATTGGTCCGAGGAAGATGATTATGAAGTAGTGATTCCAATAACTTGACTGCAATGAAAAGTCTTTATTGCGCAGCTAAAGTTACAGGAGAATGAGACTATGAGACTTCAACTACAATAGATAATAGTAGTAAGGGAGAGAGATTGTCAAATCTGCATCTATATAATAATCGTATCGAATTTACCATATTAAAAGTAAACTACTTACCTTGGAAACTGCGGGCCAAACTGTGTATAGCAGCAGTTGTCCCAACAACCTCTCGAGAACGGATTGTATCCACCTTTAAATTTGCCGGTTACTTGTTCGTTCGTAGTTCGCCCTCTTGATACCAGAACCATGTGAAAACCAGTCAAACCAAATATAGGTATGGAAAGCAAGGCTACCAGTGCCATTAATACCATACTGAAAGGATATTTATTAAGGAAAATTCAAATTTAAATAAGCTGCAGTTACTATTTTCTTAACATACAATTAGGAAATAAGTCGACGCACGACTAGGAGAGTGAAATGGGAGCGGAACAAAATCCGATTGCATGGAAAACCGAGCCAATTGGTAAAAAGATCCAGCCAGAGTGGATGACCGGTTGTATTGAAGAACGCTAAGGGCCAATTGGTGCTGTAGCCCTATACAAAGTAGTTTTGCAGTAAATTCTAAATACATCATTATCATCATAAATGACTCGAGTGATAAGTGGATCTTGGGCTGCTCACAAAAAAAGTCGCCACTCCTGTAGATTCCTAGCAACTTCCCTCCATCTCCTGACCCTTAGAATCTGTAGGTCTTCTTTCACATCATCAATCCACCTCCTTCGTGGTCGTCCCCTACTTCTTGTGCCCTCTGGTTTTAAAAATGTTAATCTCTTAGCAATGCGTCTTTTTATTTCATCGCTTGACGTGTTTCTTGCGTTTACTAGTTTGTTAATTTGAATTCCCTGTTGGTTATTTCGGGGGTTTTTAGAAACCAACATATACACAAGCCTTGTAAAACACTGCACCATGTTTCTCATACTTTTGTCCACTATAACTACATCGTCAGCGAATGCGAGAATGTGCGTCGATCTATTAAAAATAGTTCCATTCATTCTAATACTTAATTATCTGATTGCCTTTTCCAAGGCAATATTATATTAGAGAGGAGACACGCTAGCGCGTCCCATTGTCTTAGGCCATTATTAATGTCAAAGAACGTAGAGTTTTCTCCTTCAATTTTAACGCATGAGCTTACGTTTTGCATTGTAAGTTGGGTCAATTTAACTAACTTAGGTGGGATCCCAAAGTCTATACAACATCAATATCCTTTGTAAAATCCACAAGGAAAAAATTCCTGTAGCTGGCTGTATACCACGTATCACACAAAGAGGTTAGTCTTTGTAAATGGGTATATTTATTTAAAAAACCCTTAAAAGGGCTACATCAATAAAACAAACGTTTTCGGACCACACAGTCCATCATCAGGTTTTAAAATCGAAAAATGCCTAAAAATAAGTATGAACCATTTAGTTAAAACAAACGAGATTATGAAATTTTGACTATGGTTGAAAAGGAAAAGATGGTTATACTTACTAGGTCACAATGCCTGAGCCACCAAAATACTAGGGTAAAAACCCTTTAAATTACATTTAGTTATAAAAGATTGTACATTGTGTTGTAAAATAACTGTGATGTTCAGTATTAAATTAAATTTGACTAGAGGTAACACATGGCTGAATCGAGTTCCAGAGCCGGTGAGAGAGAACCTCTACACGCGGAGAACAGCTGGGAACTGATTGACAAAATACTTATGAAGGATGACGAAAACAGAATGTCAATGCAACAAAAACTATATTAGTTGTACATAGTATTACTACAGCCAAAAGATTCAACAAGTTTTGATGATTTTAAAAATAATAATAATAACAACAATCTAGGTGTTGGGATTTAAAAAAACTTTTTACTTATTAATTTAGGGTATAAAAGATGTGAAATCAATGATGGTATTATAGTCTTGATTAATAGAATGACCTGTGCCTTAGGCAACTTATGTTGCTTTTAGTCGTATGGAATGTGGTCTAAAAGTGTATTTTATGTTTGGATTAGCTTATATCTATGAAAATTATCCTTTTATGTTTATCACATCTAGGACAAGGTAAAAATTAAATAACAAATATTTGAAGCTAATATCAGACCTCATGTTTAAATGACTTTATTTAAGACTGCTCCTAAGGTGAAAAATTAATAAAATTAAGTTTAGTAAGATGGAAATCTACAGGCTGAAGAAATTAAAGTAGTAACCTATGTGATTGAATTTAAAATTGAAGAGGCTGGGTTCCTCAGAGACTAATGAGAATAAAAGTAAAGGAAATGACTGAAGAAAAGGAGGGGGGGCGGTTGAAGGAGAAAAGGAGTTAATCAATCTCTAATTGTTGATTAACTCCTTTTCTCCTTCAACGCCCCCCTTCCTTTTTTCAGTCATTTCCTTTACTTTTTATTCTCATTAGTCTCTGAGGAACCCAGCCTCTTCAATTTTAAATTCAATCACATTGGTTACTACTTTAATTTCTTCAGCCTGTAGATTTCCATCTTACTAAACTTAATTTTATTAATTTTTCACCTTAGGAGCAGTCTTAAATAAAGTCATTTAAACATGAGGTCTGATATTAGCTTCAAATATTTGTTATTTAATTTTTACCTTGTCCTAGATGTGATAAACATAAAAGGATAATTTTCATAGATATAAGCTAATCCAAACATAAAATACACTTTTAGACCACATTCCATACGACTAAAAGCAACATAAGTTGCCTAAGGCACAGGTCATTCTATTAATCAAGACTATAATACCATCATTGATTTCACATCTTTTATACCCTAAATTAATAAGTAAAACAGTTTTTTTTTAATCCCAACACCTAGATTGTTGTTATTATTATTATTTTTAAAATCATCAAAACTTGTTGAATCTTTTGGCTGTAGTAATACTATGTACAACTAATATAGCTTTTGTTGCATTGACATTATGTTTTCATCATCCTTCATAAGTATCTTGTCAATCAGTTCCCAGCTGTTCTCCGCGTGTAGAGGTTCTCTCTCACCGGCTCTGGAACTCAATTCAGCCATGTGTTACCTCTAGTCAAATTTAATTTAATACTGAACATCACAGTTATTTTACAACACAATGTACAATCTTTTATAACTAAATGTAATTTAAAGGGTTTTTACCCTAGTATTTTGGTGGCTCAGGCATTGTGACCTAGTAAGTATAACCATCTTTTGCTTTTCAACCATAGTCAAAATTTCATAATCTCGTTTGTTTTAACTAAATGGTTCATACTTATTTTTAGGCATTTTTCGATTTTAAAACCTGATGATGGACTGTGTGGTCCGAAAACGTTTGTTTTATTGATGTAGCCCTTTTAAGGGTTTTTAAATAAATATACCCATTTACAAAGACTAACCTCTTTTTCTTTGTAAAATGTTTTTCCAATCTTTCAAACAATACATTGCTGAAGAGTTTATACGCAGATGCTAACAGAGTAGTTCTTACACTCCTACACTCCAGTTGATCACAATTTTTATACAACGGACATATTATTCCCTTCAGCCACTCTTCTGGTACCAATTCATTGTGCCATATAAGTACTGTTAGTCTATGCTTTGATGCAAAAAGTGGATCACTACCTTTTTTATACATTTCCGAACAGATTTCATTGATTCCTGGGCCTTATTTGTTTTTGAGTTTTAGGATGGCATTTGACACTTGTTCTTTTGTTGGGTCTTCACTGTGTAGTTGACGTTGTAGACTTTGTTGATTGTCTACATGGTTACCTCATTCAATATCGTTTATATTTAAATGTTCACTGAAACGTTGATTGGGTGACGTTAAAACGTTCAGCGAGTTCTACTTGAGTGTATCCTTCTTCGCGAAGAGTATCGACTTTAAAACAGTCACTTTCTGACAAATTTCGATTTTCTTGCTGCTGGTGGTTCATTTCAAAGAACAAACACTTAATAAACTTGAAAAATCCCTTTAAACGTTCAGTACAACGTAATCCAACCCAACTAAATTCGAAATAAAATGAAGCACAATTAGCATGTTTTTAATCTTTTTTGCAAAAAATGGTAATTTTTTTGCAAAAAATGGTAATTTTTTTGCAAAACATCAGCGTTTTCTACCGTTCTTTCGATAAATTTTACAAGTTTGTATTTTAAAGTTTACAGGGTTTTTAAAATCATGCGTTAATTTTGGGGTGCAGTGTAAATACATATTGAAACTTACTTTACATACAAAAAATACATTCATAGCTGTCATTAGTACTTTGCTAGTCGAGTAAATTCCATTTAGAATGTCATACAGTGTACAACAATAATATTTCCTCGTTCAGACAGTTCATTTTTATTTTTAAGTTAAAATTCTGTCAGCAACAATCAAAAGGTTAATTACAATTATTTATCTGCCGATAGACTGTACAATCAATGCCGAAGGTAACTAAAAAAAAAACTATTGTATTGAGCAATTATGTGGCATTGAATTATTTCAGTAATAACCTACTACTTAACCATTTGTTGTCACCGACACACCTACAGGTCAACACTTTTTTTTTGGTTAAACAGTATTCAAACACGGAGTTCTTATTTACCGCGATAGATAAAGAAAAATATCATGAATAAACAAATAGATTTATCTATGAACTAATTTGTTTTATCTATAAATATTTTTTTCGTGAATATAAAGTGGAACGAGGAGAATTACAAGTTGAATGGGGTATAAAAATTCGATTTATCCAAATTTAGAATTAGGAAAAACGATGAAAAGAAACTAATGTAAATATTTATCTTATTTATATATATTTAAAGACTTTCAGCCCTCGGTAATAATGTAATCTTTCATTCAGCGTTTAAATTTTTCCAAAATATAAAGATGATACTAGATTTTTGTTTCAATGCAGAGCGGCGGCAAGCCGCTTATACGTATTTTGACTTCTTTAGGTCTCGTCAGAGCGGTATAGCCACCTCTCTGGATCGAAACAAAATATATTAGTGTCTTAAACAATAGTTATAAAATAACTATATGCGGACATAACTAGTAGACATAACGAGTACCAGAAATTGAATTCACTAAGAATTTTGACCATGATGAACGGCATGTGGAATGCAATCTTAGATTCCCTTGCCGAGTAATTTATCAAAGGCTAATGATCTGCGACATAAGGCCGTATAAAAATATTGGTACCAGTAGCAGGGACAATCTTTGATTTTCGGAAAATGTTGACCTCATTTTCGGCAATTTGATACAGTATTTGTAGTAATTTGAAACAATATACAGTTTTGGATCGTTATTTAGACGACTTTTTTGCAGTGCCGTACTTATGGTTTGGTACAGGGGTGAGAAATCTAGGGCTTGTAGTCTATACTAGGCGAAGTGCCTGTTCAGTCTTCTGTATCTTCTAAACAATCACACCAACGCTTCTCTCGCTCTATAGACTCCGCTATAAGGACCCTGCAGCATCGCCCTGCATCACCATCATCAAAGTCATGCAATCAACGAGGATTATAGAGGAACTCCACGAGGAAATCTTACACAAAAGAGCGATCGTTTTTCAATCAAGAACTGATATTAATTATTATTTAACTAGGAAAAAGCCACAATTAAAGGTTAAAATACGTTTTTTGAGAACGATTTCCGTGTAATTGTGAAGTGGAAATTGAAACGTCAATAAACGTATCTAAACCTTTAATTGTGGCTTATTCCCAGTTAAATAGTAATTAATTTAAAATGCCACAGAAAATAGCTTTGGAACAAGAACTGATAATTTTCTCACTAAACAACGGTTCAAAGTCTTCAGCTATTTACTGCATTCCGAAGCAGGAAATTCGGGTAATCACTGGAAAAGTTCCAATTATCTATGTTCCACTGTATTTATATCAGTTGTAACCAAAAAGACTATTTTTCGAGCAGAATTATTTCATCAACCATTTAAATATTTGCTAAACTTACGAAATAACGTTATCACTATTTAGGAAAAACGCAATAAAGTACAAAAAAGGATACGCTACAATTGGTTGAGGTTTAGTATAGACATCCCCACTCTTTAGTATAAAGATGAGGCTCAACGTAAATATACTAATCATGTGTATACTTAATGATATGAGGAAGAAGAAGAAGAAGCGGTAGTTTCTTCTTCCGATACAATTATTGACCCAAGGACAGTGATGGTCAAATGTCTGAAAAAAAAGAAAATTATTTCATTACAGGGTACAAAATAATCAAAAAAATATGTATGCACAAGTCAGCAAGTGCCTAACTCTTGCAGTGTTGTCAGATATTTAAATATTTCTTTGAAGTAGTCACTAAACACTTATTGTAAGATTGAATACATTTCTTTGTATTTATTTATTTATTTAATCAATAAATCATCAATAAAACTACAATACATTTACTAGATTTATATTGAGTGTTTTGTAAAATGTTTTGTTTCGTGTTTGGAAAATTCTTTCCAAACAAAAATTCTTTATTAATTATCTAGTAAATTTGGACGATTAATTTGCTCTAATTAAACAACTGCCAAGAGATAAGATAAAGCAGATAAGTGATTTTTATTATCTATTTAATTGATGACAATATGTAGATAGGAATAGTTTACATAATTGCTATTATATTTTTTAGCTGTATATGGAATAACTATAAATACTACTTATCAAGTACTAAATCAATGGAAGAGGACAAAGACAAAATCACTCAAACAAGATGGAAATGTTTAGAAGAAGAAAGTGTAAGAGATGTTTAAAAAAACGCTAACCCATTTTAGGTCAGCGTACTATATACGGATCACTGAAAATTAATTTTTTTTTTCAACCCTTAAAATTTGTTTAAATTAAAAAAACTTCCATACATATTTGGGCTGTTGGACTAGGCGGGATCTGTAAAATTCAGACCATAATGGACATTTTCCATAGGAAGCTATTTTTTTGCTGGAATCCCTTCAGGATGTGCCCAATATCGATAATCACGATATGCGCCAGTCGCAAACCCTGTGCTAAATTTTTTATTTAACAAAATCTGAAAACAATTGAAAATTTCTCATTTTTTTGCTCCTATTTTCGTTTATAATTCGGAAAATATTGATCCTAGAGAAAAAATTATACAAGTTAAAAGTTTCGTTATTCAATTTTACACAATATTTCGTTAGCTAGAAATTGAAAATTTAATGTTTATTGTTGAAAAAATAGCAATAATTGGAAAAAAAAAGTACAAAAAAATTAAGTTAATCTTTTAAATGTTTTCGACTTTTTAAACTTGACTTACAAGCTCCATATTCCGCCTAGAAAAACATTTTAATTATGTTTAAAACGTGTGCTAAATTTTTGTTAAGATCGGTCGGATAGGTTTTGCATATTAATTTTGCAATCCAGCCTACTGAAAAAAAAATCGCAAATTTTCAAATTTATAGTAGGCCCTAAATAAGTCCCTCAGATAATTGCAATTTTTTTTTACATATAACGGAAGGCTCAAACCTTCAAAGGCTTTTTGTAAAATTCAAATCGGTTCACTAGGAGAGCCTAGGAAATTTTTAAAAATTTTAAAATTTTTTTAAGTTTATAAACAAATTGAATAACTTTACGAGCTTTAAACATATCATTTAATTCTTGTACCATTTTTGCTGTAGTATTCCACATTGACTTTACAAACGAACATAAAACAGCTGGGTCTAAATGAACATCTTTATAAAGCCATGCAGAAAGCTGTACTATTCGCTATAAGTCCCGCGATAACACGGAAAGAGTCCCACCAAAACTCAATTCTTTTAATACTGTAGGTATCTGGGATGAGTGAATTTTCCCGCTAGAAGGAATGTGAGCCGTATGGCTAAATCTGGATAAGTAAATGAAATTATTGTAATGGAATGGATAACTGATTGAAACAATGTGTGCTATATGTGGAAACCTTATTCGATTCGCAACAAATGTTGGGTTCTTTGTTCTTAAAACAATCGCCAAAAATGACTTCTAGGATCAGAAGTAGTACTTGATAAGTTAACTTGCATTTCTGAACCTGCAATGCCATGGATATCTTTTGAGAAATTATTTACCAGCAGAAACTTATTAATTAATCTGCAAAACTGTGGATATCGAACAATAGGAACCTTGCAGAAAAATAGATTATCGAAGTGTTCTTGCACAAGATACAAAAACTCCTGGTAAAGAAGCTCGCAAATACGTAAAACACTTATATCAATATTTCCTTATTTAGAACAAAATTACTGATAACTATCATCATCATCATCTTAGGCTCTACAACCCTGGGTGGGTCTTATCCTGTTCAAGAATTATTCTCCATTCCCCCCCCCCCCCCTATCTTTCGCCCTGGCTTCCCTGACTGATAACTATGCATAAGATAAATTTTGAAATTTAAAATAATAATAAAATAATAATTTGGGCGTTAATGGGTTAATATTGAAAAAAGCAACAGCATTGCTCATACTTATTATCAACTTTCTTCAATATCTCCTAGTTTAAAATTTGTTTCTCTAAATTATTAATGTCATACACCTTTCTGCTTTTAAAATTGCAACATTTCACTCTGTGATTTCTTCTTCGACGTAAAATTGGGTCACAAGCACACCTGGTTTCGTTTTATTCTACGAATCACAATAATTATGTTTATTTCATGATGCACCAGAGTGTAAAATAATGTAATTATAAATTGTTTTTTTGTTATTAAAGATAAATAACTCGCTTGTTAATTGACCGAAAACTCAACATCACTGTTAAACTGATTCATTAAAAAAATACTGTAAAGAGATTAAAAAGCATGGATTTTTAAACGGTAAAACATTTCGAGAATTATTGGATTCCCGGTGTTACTTTTATTTTGTTTCACTGAAACAAAATTCACGAAATGACAATATGGACAAGATCACATTAATTTATTTAATTATCAACAGGCTAGGCCACTTTTATAAATACAATACAATCTAGAAAAAAATAAAAGAAAAAATAAAATTCTACACTCAAAGCAGTTTGCGTTCAGGGAAGGCTGTAGCACCGAAAATGCACTTTGTAAAGTCTACAGAAAAAATACAAAAAAAAACTTGATGAAGGTAAGAAAGTAATAGGTATATTCATAGACTTTCGCAAAGCATTTGACACTGTAGCACACCCAATTCTTTTAAAGCGTTTAGATATGATAGGCAAAGAGGTATTCCTAATAATTTAGTAAAATCTTATTTAACAGGCAGGAAACAAAGTGTAAAAATATCAGAGACAGAAAGTGAAAAACTGGAACTAGAGGTAGGGGTGCCACAGGGTACTGTGTTGTCAGCTCTGTTATTCAATGTATATATAAATGAAATTATGTCATTGCTAGATAAAGATGACATCTTTTGTTATGCAGATGATTCTGTGGCTGTAATTAGTGGAGATGATTGGGACGCGGTAAAAAGAAATACTGAATTGGCTTTTCAAAAAATTAATGGGTGGTTAGAAGATAGCTTACTCTCACTAAATGTTGAGAAAACTAAGATTATCACTTTCTCGCTGTCTACTCGTTCATTGCCCGATTTTCAAAACATTAAATTACATAAAGTGGGCTGTAAATTAGATAATAACGATAGTTGTAATAAAGTAGTTGAAAGGACACCATTTTTAAAGTACTTGGGAGTATACATTGATGAAACTTTTCAATGGAAAGAACATATAAATTATGTAACTAATAAAGTTAGAAAGCTTATTTTTAAATTCTACGAACTAAGAAACATACTAAATTTTAAAGTACTTAAGCAGGTATATTATGAGTTTATAGAATCAGTAATTGGTTATGGCATAGTAGTTTGGGGAAATGCGGGTACAACAATTCTTTCAAAACTCAGAATAGCACAAAAATGGGTCATAAAAATTATGCTTTTCAAAAATAGAAGGTATGCAACTAACTTATTATATAGAGAAAGTGAAATATTAAATATTGATCAACTGTATAATAAGTGTGTAATTAGATTTATGTTAAAAAATACATATTATAAAGTAAACATAGAACATGGTATAAATACAAGAAATGTAACCCTAAATAACGTAAAAGTGAGCAGTCCTAAACATACACTATGTCAAAACCATATGTATACTGTAGGACCAAAATTATTTAATAAGTTACCACAGAATATTAGGGCAAAACCTTACCATAAAGTAAAAAAAGAAATCTTTAAATGTATTAGAGACAACATAAAATAGGGAATTATTTAAAACAAAAAATTACTTTTAGTTTAATTTTATTAGAAAAATTGTATGTTTAATTTATATTGTTTTTATTATTTTTTGTTAATGATTGATAAAAACCTCATTTTAATTGTAATGATATGGGAAATGACACACTCACAATATCCTAGATATCATTGTGTGTCAAAACGGTTAGCACTAGGATTTAGTGTTAAGGAGGTGTAAAAGAAACTAAATTATTGTTAATTTTTACTACTATTTTCTTACTGAAATGTGATTTATTGTCTAGTATTTGTATTTACACTGTACTATTGCTAATAAATAAATAAATTTTTCTTGGGTATTAGGTATAAATGTCGATCTAAGCTAGTCTTCTGGGAAGATTCCAGTGGTATATATTTTGTTAAATAATATTGTTAACATCTGAAAGATTTTCTTCATTGATAAGCTTCATCATCTTTGCTTTTTGGCAAAGTTGGACCAGTATTTCTCCTCTACCATTTCTTTGGCACAAACCAAAGTTTCCTACTACATCTTCGGTCCACCCTTCACCTACTTTGGCATTAAAATCTCCCATAACATTTACAGCATTTTTCTTTGTGATCTTCATTAGCTGTTTGATCTCTTGGTAGAATTCTCGTACTTCTCTTTCTGGTTTTTTCTGCTGTAGAGCATATACTTGAATAAAGTTAATATACGAGAAGTGGTATTAATTTGCAGCATAGCAATTATACCACTTCTATCAGATATAGGTATAAAGTTCTTTATACATTTACTGCTTTTTTGGTCATCTATAAATGCCCTCTCCGTTATAATGATGACAATACATGGTTATCGAGACTTGGCTAAATGCTGGTCTACACCAAATCTAAAGTATGGGTAACATCTTATAAACAAGCGTTTTTAGGACTTATGGACTTTCTAACGGGTTAAAAAATCCTGCAGGTAAACAGTTTATGTGCTTTTTCACTTCAAGTAATTTTTAAAATAATAAAATTTTCAGGAAAAGGAAAAAGACTAATAATCTGTCACATTGGCAGTGAAGGTGGGTTTGTTCCAGAATGCTGTGGGTGTTTAGATAAAAAAAGTGGGACTACCATGAAGAGACAAATGGGAAATCTTTCGAAAATTGGTTCAAAAATATACTGCCCCAATTAGAAGACAACTCCAACATCGTCTTGGACAATGTGTCTTAACCTTCCAGAAAGTGGAAAAAAATTCCAACTGCTGCTTCTAGAAAAGCTGACATCCAATTGTGGCTGAAATAAAAAAATATGGGGTTTGAGGACTCCATGTTAAAAGTGTAACTGCTGACAATCGTTAAGGAACATAAGGGACAATATAATAAATATGTATATCATTGATGAGATGGCAAAAATCCAAAACAAAGTAGTGTTAAGGCTGCCACCATACCATTGTGAGCGCAATCCGATTGAGCTCACTGGGCAGAAGTAAAAAATTATGTAGCAGCCAAAAACACTACTTTTAAATTTGCAGATATGAAAAATATTATTTATGATGCAATAAATAATATTAGTTCATCTACTTGGCAGAAATGTGTGCAAAACATTCAACAAAAAGTTGAGACCAAAATGTGGAAGTTTGACAATAGAGAACCATATTGAACCCATAATAATAAATCCAGACGAAGACAGTAGCACATGTAGCTCTTCAGACTGTGAGTAATTTAAATGGTATGTTTTGATGCTTTGATAAACTTGACATGACAATGTTATTTTATGTCAAAATTTTGCCCACAATGATTAAATTTCAAGAAATTCTTACACTGATAGTTTCAAAAGTAAATATTTTTAAAAATCATATGATACATCTCAATACGGCCCTGTTTGGCTTTCAATGCGTTTTTTGACAATTGGGAATACATAAAATGAATGTGGTTTAGACATAGTTAATAGTTGTACAGGCTTGTAACAAACTGCAGAGACTGTTAGATTGTTTTAGTTAGACTTTTAATACATAACGATAAGAGTTATAACAATATGGGGTCCTGTAGTAATATTTTTATATTAAGCAAGCTCTTAGCTTTCCTAGCCTATATCATTAAAGATCTCCATCAATGTCTAAATTATATGGTGACAATAAACAAATACTGATACAAATAATTATAGAATAAACAAAAAGCTTACAATTTTGATTTCTTGATAAGTTTCAATAGATAAACGCCTAGACAAGTAACCAACTAACAAAGAAAAGTACCACATTTGACAACAAATTCTGTGAAAAAGAAGTATTCAAACAAATACATAATGTAACTAGTAAAAACAAAACAATTTCTGTATAAATAGATTTTCATGTTAAAATTTTATAAACTGAAATTTTTTTCTAGTTTTCCTCGCCATTTACAAAAAAATTGATAACAAATGTGTTTTATTATCATTAGATTTGATAGCACCTTTTAAAGTGAAATGAGAGTAACCAAATATACATATATTTGACATGCAAAACACCAAAAACTTACCTCTATACAGTGATTACACACACTACAATGGGAACACCTTGGTGGTCTGTAAAATTTACATGTAACACACCATTTCATTCTAACTGTAATACCATTAATGTCAACATTTTTATAGAGAGGTGCTCTAAAATCATCTTCTCTATCTTCGTCAGGAGGTGCTGTAACAAAAATATAAAAAAAGTCAAGTTAATTAAATATACAAATAATAATTTTAGTATGTTTTTTTATTAATAACGTCTGGTAAGCTGAGCTGATTGTTGTGTATTTATGTGTACAAAACATTATATAATAACAAAATATTTGTCATACAGAGATTTTCTTTCGAAGTCTACAGAAATGTCTATGAACTTGTATTCCTAAGAAACATTGAAAAGACCTACTAGATAAATAAATGGTCTAAAGGTAAACAGTTACATTAAAATGAAAAAAATATATATACATAAATATGTAATTTAAGAGTTTTTGATATTCTTTTACCTGTTTTTCAGAAACTTTTTTCTAAAATGTAGTAAATGTGTAATTTCTTAAATATTTTCCAGTGAAATATTCTTATAAAAGAAATAAATTGTAAGAAAATGGAGATCTGATGTATATTTAACTTACATAAGACAAAAAAACTTCTGCTGTATATAAAATTTTTTTTGTCAATCTTTTTTTTTACAAATATGTGTAAATCTTTTGCAAATCTACAAAATAAAAGCTTTATAGTTGGCAGTTGATATGCTGTAGGCTCTATATTAATATTTTGATTGATTAATGAAAGAAAAATAAGTTAAATGGGACATATATTTGCTAAAGAAAAAATCCGAACAACACCTACTGTAAAAAAATACCATGAATGTATGTGCAAGCTTTTACTTCTCTACAGCTTTATGTATTATTAGTAATACATACTATGATATATATTAGTATATTATCAGTAATACTATGAATAAGTTATAAATTTGCATTTATGGATTTTTTTAAGTTTATAATATCTTAATTAGTTAACTTTTAAAAATAATTGAAAGTATTGATTTATTTGTTGATATTATTACTAAGAAACTGTTCGTCATTGAGCAACAAGTAATTTCCTGTCTTGTAAAAACTAGCTATTTTACTGATAACATTTAACAGTAAAAATGAGTATTTTTCATAGAAATATCTACAATAAATCGTTAACTTTGTATTAGATTGCACAACATCTAAAAACGCATCAGTTCTGTATTTATCAACAAAGCGCGGAAGTGTAAAAATACAAAAAAAATCAAGTGGACATTCACCTTTGGGGATAACTCCTGGATCCATAAATGTTGCTAATGTGAAATTGGCTAAGACGAAGAAAGTGATAACACCTTGGCACGCTGGAACCCATGGGTGATCCGCTAGGTAATACTGGGCCCTAAAAGCACAACACAACACCTATATTTGGATGTATAAACATATACATAAATAACTTACGGATAGTAAAAAAATAAAGAAGTGGCAACGATGAGCAACGTCCATGCAAATGTAGCCGGTATATATCTAGTTTTTACATCACACTTGGGCATAATGTTTTTTATTTTATCGGATGCACCCTTAAGTTCTAGCGAAAGTCTGAAAATTCAGTCTCTGGTCTCATACAGGTCAACATGGCTGGCAGAGGCAGACACTACAATGAGAAGTTAGTCATATTTAAATGTCATTTAAGAATAAACGTCAGACGTCTTATCACAACAATTATATGCGTATTCTGTGATCACAATACACATAAATATGAGATGATAATGCGCATCAGCAAAGCGCGCTAAATTTCCAGACCGGAATGTTAAATGCATATTTACCATAAAAACAGTCAATAAACAAGTATAGCTTGATTGAATTAAACTTTCAGATAGATTTAAAGTTCTATGAATATTATTCCTTTTTCTTAAGAAGCCTCTCCGTTACGAATGTTTGCGACGAACTATATAGTTGACAAACTATTTTCAGCCAAAACTATTTTTAAGATTTAAGATTCCAGAAAATTCATCATTTCATAGTTCATAGTATTTAACATTCCTTACCGACTCTTCTCGTGTCTTTACTGTTTGATATACGATCCACCTACGAAATTTCTAACATTCTTCTGCAGTAAGAAATCTCAAAACTCTTCAGGATGCATCGATAAGTTTCCAAGAGTCTACTCTGTAAAATAACTGAAAAGGCATGGCACCCAAGAAGGCAAGTCTTGGTTTTCATTGATAAATTATTGATTTTGAATTTTTTTCTCATTTTAACAAATGCTAGCACAGTAGCTACTGTGGCCTATTGTCTCCACTATTTCATTTCACATGAATTGTCACACTGATTGTTTTTATTGGTATCCAAAAAAACGTAGCTGTTTATTGTAACTTTTGTTATTGGCTATAAATTGATTATTAAATTTTGTGGCGGCGTATGGTTTTTACTTACAATCATCAACTTTGTTGACTCGTTTTTTCTGCTTTATTAATAAATATAGCGTTTGTATATCAACTTGTTATCAAATTTAAAAGTTCCGGACTGTAGTAAAGAAAGTCAAAAATGTTATCTTTTGTGACGTCATATTCGATTAATATTTATGAGTTTTTAATCTATTATTTATATACTATTTTTTTATACAAACGGAACAAAAAGGCAGTGACCCTTCCAAAAATTGTAAACGACAAAAACTAATATAATTTTTCAGACGTAAAAACCAGATGGTTTTTCTTTTGATCTCGCGCTCGAACAAATATCTATCAATCAAAATCTATCTTCCGATTTTGTTTATTTGTTTATAAATTTTAAAACAAAGAACTTGTTGTATTTATAAAATAATACTTCATTACTTACAACTATAAGAGTATTAGTATATTCTAAGTGTATTGTAAGTAAAGAAGTATTTAACTTTTGTCAATATCTCATCTTAATAAATTTACAGTTTTCTCCTAATTAAGTCACAAAATTGTCACTAAATATTGAGATATACAACAAATACAGTTTTAATATTTTTTATTTGTAATTCCCATTTAAATATTTATTCCCTAAATATGTTGTGTACTCCGATCCATATATTTGATCTTTGTTATTTATATTTAACGAATTAAACATTGACAGACAACTTTTGTTTATAGCAAAAAGTAGATGAGCATTTAGTTTTTTCATAATTTAGTGTAAGTTTGTTTGGTGAAAAAGACAGCAAATATTTGAAGTTATGTTAATGTAAGTTTGTTTATTGCAATCATGTTTTTATTTTGAAGTCTTGTTTGGTTGTAATTTTAAGATTTTCCCAATTATCGGTCTAATTATGTTTCCAACAATTTTTAGTTTGAGCATTTTAGAAATTTCTTTGTGTCGTTTAAATAAAATATTCTCGTGTATGAAACCCTCTATATATTTTTATTTACTAAAAATACTATATTCGTATTGTTGTCTGCGAGCGCTTTCACACCAGTAGGCCAACATCTGTTCATTTTTTGATCTGAGCCTTCGGCGACAATAAATTTAATGTTTTTATTTTGAACTATCCCTTGGCAACCAAAGTTTATTTTTTTATTGTTCCACTTAACGAGAGCTCGGAGGGACAGGTCAGCGTCGGCTTACTGATCGAAAGTCAAATTAATACTGTTATGTAATAACTAATAATAATTACAAAGCAATAGTAATTACCTGTTATTATTCTTAGGAAATCTAAATAAACTTATTCCTTTTCCTGTCACAGATGAACATCCGCGAAAGGCACAACAATAACCAGAAGACATTTTAAATACTTATAAATTAAACTTTTAACTATAAACTTATATATTTTAACTATAACTATAAACTTTTAACTACTAAGTAAATTAGATAAATGGTCAAATGCACTTGTATAGTCGAGAATTTACCACAGGTGCCTACGGACTATCGTAAGCAACCACTAATAACTGGGAGGTAGGTGATCTGTGTAAGCAACCAGAGTGAATAAAACGCGCGTGTTTTTGACAGTAAAGCAACCAATTTCGGGCATGCGTATACAGAAAAGACACACGGATTTCGGGGCTCGTGTCGCTTCTGATTGACACATCAGAAATAAATACAAATGAACTGCGCAAGTCTGCACAGAATAGAGGGTCAGGCTCTAGACACTAGTGTCCACCTTTCATCACTTCCATTTCAGTGTGGCAATTCGGGAAATTACATCGGTAACTCATGTTCCTCGTCTTAAGTCTTCATTTCTAACTCGGTCACGAAGCGATATACTAGCATTAATCTTTCCATATTCCTCTGAGCTATTTGCAGCGTTTTAGAACTTGTAGCTGTCAATGTCAAAGTTTCAGCACGATAGTTCATCACAGGCAACATACTTTGGTCAAATGTTTTACGTTTTAAAAAAATTGGTATATCGCTTTTAAAGATGTCTTTGAGTTTTCCATAGGCTGCCCATGCTAGGTTTATTCTTCTTCGTAGTTCGCATGTTTGGTTGTCTCTTGTGATCTTTATTTCGCGTCCAAGATATATGTACTTTTCCACACTACTTCGTTGTCTCCTATATTGATATTTCCGCTAGGTACTAGGTTTGTCATGAATTTTGTTTTGGAGATGTTTATTTTAAGACCCACACTAACTGAGGTTCATGTAGCATTGTACACATCTCCTTGAGGTTGTCCGAGAACAAAACTATCTCGTCTGCGAATTTCAAATTTGTTAATCTTCTACCTCCAATGTTCAGGCCTTTCCCTTCCCAATTAAGTTTTTTACACGCATATTCTAGTATTGCGGTAAACAGTTTAGGCGATAAGTTATCACCCTGTCGGACTCCTCTGCCGATTGAGATGTGATCCGTGTTTTCATGTAGTTTCCTTGTATATCGGTAGTCAATGCTGCATGCTTGTAGTGCTTCTAGGATTTTGTAAAATTCTACCGTGTCAAAGGCTTTATGGAAATCTACAAAAGCCAGAACAAGTGGTCAATTGTATTCGATAGTCTTTTCTATTATCATTTTAATGCTCTGTAGGTGATCATTTGTTCCAAATCCGGTAAGAAATCCCGCTTGCTGCATTGACAAGTTTTTCCTCAAGGCGATTCGTTACTATTCTTGTAAAGAGTTTGTATAGATGACTAAGAAGACTTGTAGGTTTGTAGTTTTGTAATTCATGGAGATCTCCTTTTTTGTAAAATAGAATTACCTCAGCATTGTGCCATTTGTCAGGTATATTACTGTCCAAAAGGCACATGTTAAAGGAGGTCTTCAATTAAGCCACTAGAAACAACAGTAATCTTGTACCAGAATCTGGCCACCTTGAGAGATCCAGAAATGGTTCAAGGTATTTAGCCAGTAAGTTTTATAACATAGTGCTAGCTGGAACAAAAGCTATAAGTTTTCGTTTATATTTATATTTGACTTTAAAAGTACTTTTTGTATCGTTATTACCGATAAACTACCTAAGTATCATATCCAAAATAACTGCATTGACTCTTACTACAAGATTTTTTTGGTGAATTCAGCTCCAAAACTATTTTCTTCGTGAATAATCTCCAAATCATAGATCTGTATAATTATTTGTGGAAGGAAACGAGGAAAAAAAGACACTTTGAAAATATTAATTTATTTATTGCTTACATTCTAGAGCATCATCAGAATAGATAGTAAAAATGCAATCATCATACATAAAACGATTAAAAATAACATTTAATATCATCATCAGTTTAACGTACAAATGTGTCCTCTTTAAACGACCACTAAAAGGTTTTAAAATCTTAAATAAATTTTAGATAAAAACTAGGCGAGTCTGTGTGTACGAAAACAAGCCTAAATTACGTCGAACAATTCGTCTTAATCACTTTATTTCGCTTGAAAGGAAGTCAAAGTTGAATGTAGTCGTAAAAAATTATTAAAACATCATTTAATTCATGATATACATAACGACTTATATTCGAATAAGTAAAGCATTGTCAATTTATGCCTATAATGGTAATAAGAGGCGAACAAGAGGTTCAAAAATAAACCTAGACATTTATAAAAGATGGTAATGAGGAAGCTATTGGAAAAATGCCATAAAAGAAGATAAAAATCATATAAAAACAATCAATTACTTGCCAAAACTATTACAAAAACCTTTGGGATCAGTTTATGGCAACGAAAAGAGACAATCAAGTTATCTTATGATTTAGAAGCGATTTCGTTCAACAAAAAGTCACTAAACAAGATATAAAATGCTGAATAATACAACTACGTTATGTATATCATGATTTAATTGCAATTTATGTATATAAATAAAAGTCTTTCAATAAAAAAATTACCTAAGTATCCTACCACAGATCCAGTCGAGTAACATAGTTACAAATCCGTCGATTTCATCATTATTTCACACTTTTAAACTAAATAATTATTAGGTTACTAAGATCTTTTAGTTAATATATTTATATACAGGTTAAGTCAGAATGTAATAGAATCAAATAGAATTACGAAATATTTTTTTTTGTTAACTCATTCGTACTCCAAATTTTTCTAAAAATAAAAATAGTTGTTAACCTGTACATTTTATATCAAGTATTGGTATAATGGATTAGGAAGTCTGTAGAAATGATTTTTAAATAGAAAATTGATCAGTTGACAAAATTTTGAATCAGGATTCAAGACTTTTTAACACTAACAGGCAGCTGGGTTCCCC